AAATTGTCTGAATTTCCAATATATTGTCATTGTGGGCAGGTCTATGATAGAAACCAGGACTGGATTGAATGTGAAGACTGCCTGCAATGGTTCTATCGCAAATGTGAAGGGATCCAGTCATCTGCCCTGGAGAATCTACAGCACACATTGGCAGTGTTGCAACTGCTCTTAGGGTGGTATTCTATAGAGCTGTAATCTGTCAGATAGACACACCATACCAGTTGGGGGAGATTCTTGCTAAGTGCGATCATTGCAATTAGCTTAAATGGCTGAGTTACTGAGGAGAAGGTATGCATGTACGACAGAAACCAGGACTGGATTGAATGTGCAGACTGACTGCAATCAATTAAAGTGCATCTCAAGTGTGAATGGCCCCAGTCATCCACCCTGGAGAATATGTAGCTGTCACTTTGTGTTTGTACATAAAAATCACAGAATATTTATTTATGCCAAATTGTATTTATAGTAATGACATAAAAGTCACTTTTAGTTTCCATTAAGTATGTCATGTAACTCAGACAAATAAAATACTTCACTGAAAGGAATTACTGTTTTTAGCTTTCCGAATATAACTCAAATGTGTTGACATTAGTCTTCATCTTTACAGCAGCAGGCAACAAGACCATAAAACCAAATATTTGTGTTCAAGAAACAATGAAAATCACAGATAAAGTAACACATGTCCAAAGCTTGGACATTATGGAGTCATGAACAGTAAGTAAAACATAAACAAATATTATCATTGCTATATTACACCATACACATTTCATACTCTCAGACTAGTGAACCTTTTGACTAGCAAACCTTTGAAACAGCTGGGCATTTGCATCATCAAACTATNTGAACATAATGAATGATTGAATCTTACAAACTGCAATAATATGAGTTTATTTCCATTTTTGACACTTTATTACACAATACACGATAACAAGTTTACCATCATTTTTACATAATCAACTAACAATGTTGTAAAGATGCAGGAAATGTCAAACAAACACTTTTACGTATCTTATTAATTAAATAATGAGACTGTTAACATGCCTAAAAATTGAATCTGAAGAAATGTGAAAAAACAGCATAACTTATAAAATAATGGCCCGATTATGCTGATTTTCGAACTTGACCTGCATTTTAGTAAGATTGATTACTCCTGTGAGCTTCATGACAACAGGCCTATCAGTTTTCTTTGAAATGTGTTAACAGTGTTGCATATATGCTGAAAAGTGAAAAAAAAAACAGCATAACTACTAAAATGGTGGCCCGATCATGCCGATTTTCGAACTTGACCTGCGTTTTAGTAAGATTGATTACTCCTGTGAGTTTCATGACAACAGGCCTATCAGTTTTCTTTGAAATGTGTTAACAGTGTTGCATATATGCTGAAAAGTGAAAAAACAGCATTAATTCTACAATAATGGCCCGATCATGCTGATTTTCGAACTTGACCTGCGTTTTATGAATATTCATCAGCTCTGTAAATATAAAGCCAAAAAGTAAAACTGTCTTCCACTTATGGTGTTAACGCTGAAAGTGCACGGCGACGGCGACGGCGACATCGACGGCGACATGAACGGCGACGACAGACGCAGGTGATGGCAATATGTACAGACACATCTGTGTCTGTACATAAAAATTAAATGTATATAGTCAGAACATACCTTAAAGTGATAATAACTCTTCGTTTCGGCCAAAAAATGAATTTTCCTGGAGTAAACAACAATTTTCCCGTACTTACCAATGGTTAATGAATCCATTTTTACATTCAAAGTTAGTCCCTGGTTTTTTTCTAAAAAGTTTGTTTTTCTGTTAAAATCTCTTAAGAGATTTTAACAGAGTATAGCCATCAATGGAGGTCACGTGGTCTAAAGACAAGCTCAGATATCAGAATAATAGCTATAACAGCCGTTTTTGTGGGAAAACAGAATATATTATATTTTCATGAGTCATTCACAATGTTTTTATTGTGAAATACAGATTTCATACGAAGAGTTATTATCCCTTTAAGTAGATGGCTTTGTGTTTGAATATATATATATATATATATAAGTTCATTTATTTATATCAAATGATTACTATATTGTTTCAGGTTGTGTCAATTATTGGTGAGACTACCACTGCTGGATTTCAAGGAGAAATTGACACATTCCAACAACAAAATCAAAATGGCAAGTATACCAAAATTATAATTTATCTTCTATTTGTTGTATTTCATTGTGTTAGGGACAAGCTTAATTAACCACTGATGGGGACAGCCGAGCCCAGCTGCATATGACAATGTTAAAAGTCTTTGGGACACATGACACTTTACCAAAGCTCTGAAGAAACAAATAGAAAAGGCACCATTTTCTGGGCAAGTGTTTCCAGGAAAAACAAAATGCACTAGAGACAAAATGCAAAAAAGGCAACAAGAGGTCAAGCAAACAATTCAGTCTGGTTTGAGCAGAGGGAAGGCTCCTTGACAGATTCATGTTTTTATGATATTTACACAAAAATGGAGTCATCCAAAAAGACAGAGGTTGACTTTAACCCCCTCATAAATAGATTACTTTATATCAGCCCCACTTCTGATTTACCTGCGTTAAAGTATGGGCGTGACATGGAACCTGTTGCTGCCACAGAATTTGAGAAGATGATGCATAGGGAAGGGCACAGGGACTTGAAAGTTACAGGATGTGGTCTCTTTACAAGTGCAAGTTTTAGTTTTTTAAGGGCCTCTCCTGACCACATTATTGATGATGCTTGCTGTGGCAAAGGGACTGTAGAAATTAAATGCCCAATCTCTGCAGCACACACAGTCCCCAATTCAGATAGTTAGACGTGGCAATAGAGACATATTGAAAGAAAATCACAAGTACCTAACACCTAACACAGATTATTGGCCAGATGGCAATAACAGATTGTCAGTATTGTGATTTTTTTTGTTTATTCAAAGTTTGGCTTTTTTTATCTGAGAATTATATAGGATGAAGTAAAGGCTCAGTGGGTTTTAATTCTCCAGAATCTTGGGAATTTTCATTTTTTATACATTGCACCAGAGTTGATATCTAGGCGTATTTTGAAAAGCAGAATCGAATCCATCAATCGTGACAGGGCACTAGTTTCTACCAGTACAAAATTAAAGTAAAAGCAAAGAAGTCTGTGAAAACAAAAACCAGAAAAACCCCAGTGTACAAATGTAAAATTTGCAAGAGTAAATGTATAGAAAATGCTGAATATGAAGAAGCATATATAGCATAATGTGTTCAATGTGTGATAAGTGGTTTCACTGGACTTGTGTTGGAATTGACAAAGACTCTGAAGAAGCAAATGATGAGGATGTCCTGTGGTTTTGTCCAATTTGTTCATAGATGAAATAATTGCACTTTTATGCTTAAAACTTATACATAAATGTTGACTTTTTCTCAAATTGTGTTGCAATAATGAAAATACTATCATGTAAATGTACTATACAGCATCAAATATATTGAACAAAATTGTGGAAAATGATATATACTGTACATAGAGCAGGTGCATTATGAACAAGAGTATATACAATGCAACCTATTGTGAAAATAAAAAAGTAAATAGGAAGCTGCTATAAAATTAACCAGATATGCAGTTCATTAGCGTAAGCACCATTAGATAAATAAGTATTATTATTATTATGATATAATGCAATGAACACCTATTTGGCACAGATTCAATTTGATATTCCCAGAGTCAACATACATGTTTAGCAGAAATACTGCATTGAAATATATGAATCAGCTATAGACAATGATAGGACACAAAATGAAGATGACAATCTCACTGTTAGAGGTGTCAGGCTAACCAAAGGGGGGTATAAATACACTGTTAGGAAATGGATGGCTGAATGACAGACATATTTTAGCAGCGCAAAGACTAATCAAATTGGAATTTCCTTTGTTGTGGGGGGCTTTTAGATACACTCCTCTTGGACTGTGGTTTGGAAACTGGTGAGTTGAAGCAGGGACATAATCCAACAGCTGGATGTTGGCCACCGACTTTACTTCCCAGCTGTTCTAACAGCGAAGTTGGCCCACGATGTTAAAGTGATTAGTCTCTTACGAGAGGGGACTAAGAAACAGCAGCTCACAAATACAAAAGAAGCTTCGTGTACAACACACAGACCCCTGGCTCAGGAAGGTTGTCCAGTATGGGTCAGACTGCGATCCCTTCCACAAAGCTTCCCAGACAGGTCTCATTGCCCCTCCAGTGTTTGTTCAGCCTCCGTCCAGAGAGCATGTTCCCCAACCAAGATGGCTGATGCATGCATATGCCATTATGTCATGGACAGGCTTCCCGAACTGAAAGCAGTGCTGACAAGTCAGTTTGGAAATATATTAAAGCTTGATTCAACTAAAAAGGTCGTCAAGAAATTAGCTGGTATGGCAACCTGGCAACCAAGACCGCTATTTGGTGCACAAATGTTGGAAATGAGCACGGTCAAGTCCTGAACTCTGTAATGACTGCAGGTGAGGGCCATGGCTTGACCAAAATGGCACAGGGGCTTGTTACTAGGTACAGGGATGCAGGAGAACCCCCTCCAACTTTGGTATATGTGGATAGGGACTGTTGCAGTAAAACAAACCTGAGGAAGATTTTTCACGGTTTGGAAGATACAGTCATCAGGCTGGACATCTGGCATTTTATGAGGCGACTATCTACTGTCTGCACCACTGATTCCCACCCTCTATACGGTGTCTTCATGTCCACTCTCAGCAAGTACATCTTCACTTGGGACAGAGACAACCTCCAGCTCTTACTTGATGCCAAGACAAATGAACTGCATCCATCGACTGACAGAGATGAAAATATGAAACGACTGACTAGGAAAGAGCTTGCTTTGCCTTGCAGACATACCACCAGGGGTGAGAAAGAAACATTAAATCTAATTAACCAGCTGTTGGCAGCCTTCAGTGATCCTGCAGGACGGGACACACTTGGTTAAACACAGAAAAAATTACGGAAATGTGGGAAAGCCAAAAGAAACATGTGAAATGTCTCATGTACAAGAACAGGTACAAGAACAGTCTAGTCTCTTGGTAAGAATAGATATTTTTCATTTTTTCCAGTTCCTTACAGTTACTGTACATGATGTTTTCCTTGATATCATCTGATGAAGTCTCTATCCACTAAACAGGATTTATAATTATAGTTAGCTTGATCACAAAGTGTCCACTTTATTTACCATTTTTCCATTACGGATGAAGAGCATGAAAAAGAAGAGAAACAAACGTCTAGTCTCTTGGTAAAAATATATTAATATGACTTCACCATTTTACTGAACTATAAATGTTTTCCTAAAATATCTTTTCAAAGTCTTCTGGTTTATAAATGCAATATGTGGTTGTGTCTCACTAGATAGAATTTGAAATATGATATTTAGCTTGATAACAAAGTGTTTACTTAAATCCTTCAGTTTCCCATTCCTGAGGAAGAGGCAGAGCAAGAAATAGGAAAGAACACACAGTCTAGTCTCTTGTTATGTTTAGATAATTATAAGTTTTACTTTTGCATACAGTAATATACTGTTCTATTTGTTTTCATTGAAAGTCTATAAGTTTGTAATGCAACATGATGACCTGCCTGCGAGGCCCCTGAAAGGTGGATGAGAGTTAATAATAATCACCACTGTGTTGTACTGATTTGATCCAACAAGCCAAATATATGAGAGGAAGATGCTTTTTTATTTTTGAAAATTAGCCCACAAGTGCTTATTTGTGCACAAACTTATAACAGTTAAAGTTCATCACATTTTAGTTAATTTTGGCCAGAAAATGGCAACATAACCAGTCAACTTCATGCTAGTACTTATGGTTTTTATTTGATTCAATTATTTCAAACAAGTAGCTAAATATTAAAAGCTTTACACTTTCAACACTCAAATATGAAGATTTTTCCCCTTTTTATTAGTTCATGCAATATGGATCAGCGTGACATATGTATGTCTCTGTCCATCTTGTGACTGTGGGCATTTCATATATAACATCAGTACCTAAAATTACCAAAGAGAAAGCATGTTTTGCTGTTTGATGCCTGTATATTTGCAAGTTTTGCCACACAGTTTCAATAATATAATTACAAAAACTAGTTATTATTTTTATAATAATGACATTTATTTTTTCCATTTGATAGAAAGCCATAGTTGCTGGGATAGGAGGTATTAACAAGTGTGATCACACTAAAAAGGCCATGCAAAGGTAGGACAAATACTAATATATATGCATTTACTTAATTTTTTCCTGTGTTTAATGTGTAAAAATACATTTCATTATCTGAAACCTAGAACTCAGGTATAAGTTATGATCAAACCTTTATGGAATGATAACTAATACTTTTACACTTGACACATTTCTGTCCATGTTAGTAAATTAATTATATTACAAAGTCGAACCTACATGTGTATAGCTACGTTATACTGGTTTGTTTGGCAGTATAAACCTTTTTATCAGAATTTTAAAAATAAGTGCAGGTTATTATTCCAATTTTTTGGACTTTTCTTGATCAAACCAAGACATTTCTGATTTTATTCAATATATCCTTTATTTTATAAATATTATTTGTAGGTGTATGACCAACAGAGTCATGGCTGGGATTAATTTTTCAGGGAAGAAAAATAAATTTCCGTTTGGGCACAGCAACTTCTTTAAAGTGATCAAAGGTAATTAAATTAATGTTGCATTGTGTTTTACATTTACTGCTGTAATTTGTGCCTGATTTGATTTTTGTAATAAACTTATCAGCTATCTATCAGCTCCAGTTTGGGCAGCTAAGCCTAAAAAAAAGTTCTTACATTTTGCACCCTAGTTGGAATTTAACACCCAATCTTAACCTCATTCTTAGAATCCCTCAATGAGCTATGATAGGCACGCCTGCCAGCGTACGTTCGATACATATATGCTTACATTTCTACTTCACTTTTTTTTCCAGATGTCATGATGTCAAGATATAGCTGTACAGAGAAGGAAGTCACCGACAGCATCGTTAACTATCTAAAATGGGCACCAGAAAGAAAAGATGGAGGTGGAAGAAAGTAACAATTAGGAACTTGAACTATTATTTTGGCCTTGTGCTGGACATTGCTACAATACTTACAGTTATATCTCTGAACTGTGGAGTTCATCAGATTACACTCATATCTGTCGTGTGTATATGAACCTCATTTTCTACGTCTTGTTGCACAAAAATTCATTTTATTGAAAACGTTTTGAATGTTGTAACTGCACCTTACAAAGCCGTATACTTTACCTGGGTAGGTCTGCAACCTGTAGTTCCTGCAGGAATTCACATTCATCATGTTGGATCACGTTGGGTTGTGTCTGCAAGTTTTAGCAACAAAGAACTTGTGTATGGCTCTCTTACTCCAAGAATGACACAGGGATATGAACATAAAGAAATACCACAATTACAGGTCCTTGAACCAGATGGAACCCTCATGGACACAAAAATATTTAAGAAGGACCTAGAAAAGTGTAAAATGGAACTGACCCAGGATAACACACAGATTTTTAGATAATGAGATAATTTTTTTAAATCAAGAGAAGTCTTCGTTTCCTCTATTTCCCACAAATACCTGTTATAGCTGTTGGCCAGTTTGTCAATTTTGCTCATTAGTGATTGTTGGCATTTTTTGTTTAAATCTAGGGTTATGCATACGAACCACCCAGCCACTTACACTTACAACACAGATGATACAAAAAAGTTTTTCATGTTGACCAAAACATGAAACTAAAAGTTTAAAATGCCATTTTGGCTAATTTCGCCCATGCAACTGGATTTTCCCATATGCATTAGCTAAAGTGAACCTTCCCAAGTTTTTCTGATACGCAGACATTTAAGCCCTGTGCTGAATACATGTAGATTCTTGCAAAACGAATAAGGTATCTAAAAACTGATTTCTTCACAGCACACAGCCAACAGAAATTAGAGCAACTGCAAGTGATGACACTTTGTCTAGATCATTCCCACCAACAAGTTCTCCTTCCACTGAGGGAACTACCTATCCCATTTCAAACTTGGAGACACAACAGGAAGAGGAACCCTTAGGCAAAGGCACCATTTCACTCTGTGTAAGAGAAACAGTAGCTGAAATGTAAGTGTAGCAAATAGAAGTCCCTCCTCAAATTTTTTGTGAAGTCTATTTATCATGTTGTCTACCGGTACTGTACATGTAATGAAATAACGCAGTCCAAAATTGTTAATTATTTTAACAGGGAATCTTGCAATGACCCAGTCACAATTCTCAGGGCCATCACCAAGAAATATTTAATGGGTCGCCCTATTGATGTTGAGCAGGAGAGATGAGTTCTGTGAAGGAGACACAACATTAGCCCATGTTTCTCGCTCTACTATCTTTGAAGATGGTATGGAAATACTCACAGATTCAACTGTCAACTATCACCTGCCATTGGAGATAGTATATTATGGGGAGGAGGCAGCTGACCTTGGAGATCCTAGAAAACAGTTCTTGACCTCAATGCTGCACACCATAAAAGATAGATTATTTGAAGACGGTGAAGATGGTAAAGTTTTACTTGTTGGAAATCCTTACCACCAACGTAAAAATCATTACCGTGGTGCTGGGATACTTTTTGGTAGGTTGATGGATCATTAAAATCTGTATTTTTCAAATGCATGTAGATTTAATAAGTTATGACCTTGTTGCAAGTGGATATAAGTGTTCAAATAAAATGTACTAGACATGACTATCCAAAACTGCACTTGGCTTCTTTTCTTAAAATTTACTAAATCTTTATTGAATCTAATTTATATTATTTTTCAGGGAAAAGTGTGTTAATGATGCTTCTTATTACTCATTTTTTTATTCTATACACCTAAAAAAACATTTTGTTTTATTGAAATTCACTGAATAACAGGTACCTATTTTAATAATTTACTTAAGTTTATTGGACAAACTATAAAATGGTGTTTAAAATTGGAATATGATATTGAACTAGTTTATTGTTTCAAGTGAACCATGCAGTCATGTGATAAGGCATCCCTTCGGTCTTTATGTCACAAAGTATTTTCAAGAGTCACTGGCAAGATGAGCCAGTTGAAGCATATCACAGAGCTTGTTACCAAGATTACACCAACACGGAACACCTTACAAGGCTGAAAAAGAGAAGGTCAAGAACTGATGATGACAATTTTACAGACAAGTGGTTGAGTACCACCTGAGGCATGGTCTCAGTAATAGCTTTAAAATACATAGCTTTAAAAGTACATTGCTCTTGGTCTCTGATTTGGAGGTTCAACCTGTGGTTAGAAATGGTATTCAAGTCCATTATGTTGGATCACATTGGCTTGTCTCTGCACATTTTAGCAACAAAGTAGTTGTGTACAACTCTCTAACTCCAAGAATGACACCAAAAGGGCAGCTGTTGAATTTGTATCCAAATTCCTGTCAAGGAGCTGATGGTGCACTGAGTGTTGAAATGTATTCTCCACAGAGACAAGTTGGTGGTCAGGATTGTGACCTATTTGCCACTGCAACAGCTGTGTGTTTTGCTATAACAAGGTTGACCTGTATGACATTGTTTTCAGTCAACACTTGGATAAGAGTTTTTGTGTGTGTGTGTGTGTGTGTGTGTGTGTGTGTGTGGGGGGGGGGGGGGGGAAGGGG